GCCGTACTTCGTTCCGCTCCTTCAGCAGGTTCTTGGTCTCCCGCCTTCTACTGGTCCTCCTCCTCCCTTAGAGTGTCCACAGCCTGTCCCGTCACAGTTACAGTTACAGCCGGCCTCCCCACTGCCCGCTCCTTCTCCCTACACTGGTCCTACTGGAGGTCTGGCTGAGCGTCGTGAGCCTGCGTCTCGCCCTGCGTCGCCTGTCCGTCTTGCTCGCACTAGTGGTCGTGGTTCGCGTCAGCGTCCTCCTCCTGTCCCTGGCACGCACCGGATGTCTCTGCGTCCGTCCACTGCTCCTCTGCGTGCCCCTTTGCCTTCTCCTCCTGAGTCCTCTCTTTCTGCTCTTCCCGACCCGGAGTCGGACTCTCTTCGTGCTGCCAGTCCTACTGTCACGCGTCTCCTTGCTACTGTCGTCACTGACCCTTCCTTTGAGTCCACTGCTGCGTCTGCCCTAGTTGCTGAGCTCGTCGACTTTGCTGCTCGCTGTCGTCTAGACTACGCTGCTAGTCTTGTCGTTGAGTCTGAGTCTGTCTGTCCTCCGTCCGTCGGGGGTGAGTGTGCCCTTGGCACGGACGTCCTTGAGGACAGGCAGGAGGAGTTCCAGTGTTTGGCTGCTGCTTCACCTCATCTCGTGTCCGTACTGCTTACCCCTGAGGGAGACCCGGATGCACTTGACATCCCGACTCCGCGCTCTTACGCGGAGGCGATAGAGGGTCCCTACTCCTCTCAGTGGCAGGCAGCTATGGACACAGAGATGGCTTCCTGGAAGTCCACAGGCACCTACGTTGACGAGGTTCCCCCGCCTGGGGCGAACATCGTCAGTGGCATGTGGATTTTCAGGGTGAAGCGACCGCCGGGTTCTCCGCCTGTCTTCAAGGCGCGTTACGTGGCTCGTGGCTTCAGTCAGTGGCAGGGAGTTGACTACTTTCAGACCTTCTCTCCCACCCCGAAGATGACCACTCTTCGGGTACTGCTGCACATAGCTGCTCACCGCGACTACGAGCTGCACTCTCTTGACTTCAGCACTGCTTTCTTGCAGGGCAGCCTGCACGAGGAGATCTGGCTGCGTCGCCCACCTGGCTTCACTGGGTCTTTTCCTCCTGGCACCCAGTGGAGCCTCCGGCGGCCAGTCTACGGTCTCCGCCAGGCACCGCGTGAGTGGCACGACACACTGAGGACTACACTTGCGGCTCTTGGGTTTGCTCCCTCTACTGCCGACCCGTCGCTGTTTCTGCGCACCGACACTTCTTTGCCGCCGTTCTACATCCTCGTGTACGTCGACGACTTGGTCTTTGCCACAGCTGACACTGCTGGACTCGCCCACGTGAAGTCCGAGCTGCAGAAGAGACACACGTGCACAGACCTGGGTGAACTGCGCAGCTACCTTGGCTTGCAGATCACCCGGGACAGAGCACGCCGCACCATTACCCTGACTCAGTCACACATGGTGCAGCAGGTCCTTCAGCGCTTCGGCTTCACGTACTCCTCGCCTCAGGCCACTCCTCTGCCTACTCGCCACTCGCTCTCAGCTCTGCCTTCGGATGAGTCCGTAGAGTCGAGTGGCCCGTACCCAGAGCTTGTTGGCTGCCTCATGTACCTGATGACCTGCACACGACCTGACCTCGCATACCCTCTTAGCATTCTCGCACGCTATGTTGCTCCTGGGAGACACAGACCGGAGCACATGGCTGCAGCGAAGAGGGTGTTGCGTTACTTGTGGAGTACGTCGGGCATGGGGCTTGTGCTTGGAGGGCAGAGTCCAGTGGTCCTCACTGGGCACGCAGACGCTTCTTGGGCTGACGACCAGGCTACGCAGCGGTCGTCACAGGGTTACACCTTCAGCCTTGGTTCCGGCTCTGTTTCGTGGCGGGCTACCCGCTCGTCTTCTGTTCTCGGCTCCAGTTGTGAGGCTGAGATCTACGCCGGGGCCATGGCTGCACAGGAGCTTCGCTGGCTCACCTACCTGCTGACTGACCTCGGAGAGCCGCCTCGTTCTCCTCCAGTGCTGTACGTAGACAACAAGGCCATGCTGGCCTTGTGTCGAGAGCAGAGACTGGAGCACAGAACGAAGCACATTGCTCTCCGCTACTTCCTTGCTCGTGAGCTACAGCAGCGTGGTCAGCTGCGGCTTGCGTACGTGGCCTCTCAGGCCAACACTGCTGATATCTTCACCAAGGCACTTGCGCCTTGTGATCATCAGCGCTTCTGTACTCAGCTGGGTCTTGTGCCTACCTTGCCTCACTTGCTCACCCCTTGACCTTGTTTGTACTGTTGCATATATATATATACACCTGCTCTTGCTTGTCTAGCCTTATATATATATGTAATCCTGCATGTGAACTGGCCTTGTGGCCTTGAACTTGTGCTCGGAATGTGTGGTGACTTTGTGATCCACCCTGAGCTTGCTTTGCTTTGCTTGACTGGTCTTGTGACCCCTTGTTCTCCCCCACTTTGCCTATGGGGGTGTGTCAGATTTATATGACATAGCTACTGTAGGCTATAGTGGGGTAGCACATATGGGGTACAGTTTTCTAGGGTTTACATTTGTACCCAACTTTCCCTTAGTCAATCCATTCTCGTTCAGTTTCTCACACGTCAGATCGACGGTCACGCACGGGTTATATTTTTCGTCTCGAGCCGATTGGTCCGATCTCCTGGAATTCCTCGAAACAGGAGCTCGTGTCACTTTCATCGGCTGAAGCAGAATTCATCGCCGCCTGTGCTGCAACTCGCGAAGGTCTGTACCTGCAGGAATTGCTTGACGAAGCAAAATTCGTCACGCCGAATCAGTTCACGTTGCAGTGCGACAACCAGAGTGCAATTACCATCGCCAACAAGCCTGGTTTCGTCAATCGCACGAAGCACATCTCGCTGCGTTACTTCTTCGTAAAAGACGCGATCGACAAGGGGAGAATGCGCCTTGTCTACTGCCCCACCAGCGACATGGCCGCTGATTCGCTTACTAAGAAGCTGACACGTCAGAAATTTCATCACTGCAACCAGCTCTGTGGCATTTCGGAGTCAACAGGGTGACTACACCGAACTCCTAGAAGTGAAGGGGAGTTTTGAGATAATATCGAGACTTGTGCACTTCAAGGAATTCGTGTAGTGTAGTTAGTACAGTAAAAGTACCGATAGGCTGACGTCAGCAAAGCGCTACGCGCCCTAGGATGACGTCAGCAGTAGCTGTAGGTACCGCGAATAGTCACGTACCGTTTCAGGCTAATAGGTACATTAAGCGAATAGGTACTTTATCCTAGTATATGTTCTATATGTTTGTCATTTCTTAGTATACTTGATTTCAGAGATATTGATCCTGTTACAAGTCACTCATATAAGACTTCCACTGCTACAGGAAGCTACTATCCTAAGACTACGATCCCATTCAGACAGCTTAAATTCTAACAGGTGGTGGGGGTGAGAAAGCCGCCTGCACGAATGGGAGGGCGCATTCTTGGGAGTGGAGGATCTGTCTCAAGAACGAGGCCAAGGTGCTGTAGGGAGCACGGGGTCTTGTGACAAGGGATGGAATGTGCATGCCAGTTCAATGGATGAACTTTATCAACATTTTATACCGGTAGCATGAATACTGTTGCAGGAATTATTGTCAAGGCAAGTGATTATTCTGCCATGATGTTTGAAAACAGATCGCAAATTGGCACTTGCCCTCCATGCAGCCTTGGAAAAATAATACCATACGATACCCAAACATTGCGTTATTACCTATGGTCACGTTTCCATAACGAGGACAGATTAGCATCATTACGCATGAACACCTCGTACTCCCCCGAACCGACCAGTCGTCCTTCAAGACTCGGACCGCGTTGTTCCCAACCATTCTCGAAGCTTCCGAAGATGGAATTCAACCAAACCCCAGGCCAGCTGTATGATACTAACAAGACGGGATTCACCAATGCAAGTGGTATGCATGGGAACGGGCATTTATCTCCGCGCTAGGACTCATTGAGCTTGATCGCTCCACAAGTAAGCCACGTGTCCAAAACGACCCGTCCGGAAAATTTCCCATGCATACCGCATGGTGAATTCCGTGCTGTTACACCAGCCCGCGAGTTATTTTTGTTTCGTAAGCGCGGAGATCTGAAATTATGGCCACAAACGCGGAGCGACACCGTGTCGTGTTTGGCAGCGTTTGGCAGTCGCGGCGCGGCGTTCCTGGCCACCCACTGGGTGACCTGACCAGCTTCTCGCAGTGGCGACGTTCCAGTGCGGCCTGGCCACTCATAGTACCACGAAAGGCGCGCAAGCAACAATCTGGCCACACACACACCTCTATCGCTCCAAACACCCCCTCTCGTTCTCTCTCTCCAGATCCCATCTTCTCCTGGCACATCTCTCATCTTCCCATCTCTCTTAGTAGTCGTGTTCTCTCCGCCGCAAGCTGATCTACTCGCGGACCAGTAAACTTGCAATGATGGCGTCCGTCAACGGGAGCCCCATCTGCCTGCTGCTGCTACTACTGCTTCTTCTCGCGGGTAAGTAAATGCCGGCGGTCTATCCCCCCCTGCTGCTGGTGACTTCGACTCAAAAGCCATCTGCCTGCTGCTGCTACTGCTGCTTCTTCTCGCGGGTGAGTAAATGCCGGCGGTCTGCCTCTCGCTGCTGCTGCTGTTGCTGCTGCTGCTGCAGCAGCACCACGGTGCTGCTTCTCTCCTCGTGGCCGAGCGGAATTCTCGGCGTTTTAGGCATATCACAGCGGCCGCGATCGTATCAGTAATGATCTCGTGCCTTCCCGCGCCCTGTACTCTCATATGCTCTGCTGCTCTGTGCTCTGCTATGCGGTTCTGTGCTGTGCGGTGCTGTGTGGTGCTGTGCTGCGGCAGGCTCCCTGGACACTCCGTGGACGGCCATCCGCACTGCTGCTCTTGCGGTTAGCTCCGTTTCTTCTTTTGTGTGTGCCTCGCTGCGTTCTTTTGTGTCACAGTGCTTTTGATTTGAGTGAACCGCAAACGCCAGCTAAACCGCACCAAACCCTTTTGCATTCAGTTTCTGGATTCTTTTGCGCCATCCACGCTTGAGTACACTCTTCCCCCGCCGTGTGTGCTCTCTTCTTCCCCCCTTCCCCCCGTGAGTGCGCTCTTCAACCCGTGAGTGCGCTCTTCCCCCCGTGAGTGCGCTCTTCCCCCCGTGAGTGCGCTCTTCCCCCCGTGAGTGCGCTCTTCCCCCCGTGAGTGCGCTCTTCCCCCCGTGAGTGCGCTCTTCCCCCCGTGAGTGCGCTCTTCCCCCCGTGAGTGCGCTCTTCCTCCCGTGGGTGCGCTCTTCCCCCCGTGAGTGCGCTCTTCCCCCCGTGAGTGCGCTCTTCCCCCCGTGAGTGCGCTCTTCCCCCCGTGAGTGCGCTCTTCCCCCCGTGAGTGCGCTCTTCCCCCTGTGAGTGCGCTCTTCCCCCCGTGAGTGCGCTCTTCCCCCCGTGAGTGCGCTCTTCCCCCCGTGAGTGCGCTCTTCCCCCCGTGAGTGCGCTCTTCCCCCCGTGAGTGCGCTCTTCCCCCCGTGAGTGCGCTCTTCCCCCCGTGAGTGCGCTCTTCCCCCCGTGAGTGCGCTCTTCCCCCCTGTGAGTGCGCTCTTCCCCCCGTGAGTGCGCTCTTCCCCCCGTGAGTGCGCTCTTCCCCCCGTGAGTGCACTCTTTCCCCCGTGAGTGCGCTCTTCCCCCCGTGAGTGCGCTCTTCCCCCCGTGAGTGCGCTCTTCCCCCCGTGAGTGCGCTCTTCCCCCCGTGAGTGCGCTCTTCCCCCCGTGAGTGCGCTCCCCCCGTGAGTGCGCTCTTCCCCCGTGAGTGCGCTCTTCCCTCCGTGAGTGCGCTCTTCCCTCCGTGAGTGCGCTCTTCCCCCCGTGAGTGCGCTCTTCCCCCCGTGAGTGCGCTCTTCCCCCCGTGAGTGCGCTCTTCCCCCCGTGAGTGCGCTCTTCCCCCCGTGAGTGCGCTCTTCCCCCCGTGAGTGCGCTCTTCCCCACCCATGCCTGCCTGCCTGCTCTTCTCCACCCATGCCTGCCTGCCTGCTCTTCCCCACCCGTGCCTGCCTGCCTGCTCTTCCCCACCCGTGCCTGCTTGCCTGCTCTTCCCCACCCGTGCCTGCCTGCATGCTCTCCCCCCACCCCCCAACCTGTTTAAGGAAATCTCCCGCTGGTGTCATTTTGAGTTGACGCTCCCCCCCCCCCCTCTCTCCCCCGTGTCTGCGCTTCCGCACCGTCCTCCTCCTGCGTGCTGCCAGGACACCAAGACGGTGCTGGTGGGGTGGAAGAATTCCCGCTGGAGCCCCTTTTCGTCAACTCATGCTCTTCCCTTCCACCCCCCCCTGCTCTCCCCCCCCTCCCCCGTGTGTGCGCTTCCGCACTGTCCTCCTCCTGCGTGCTGCCAGGACGCCAAGACGGTGCTGGTGGGGTGGAGGTACTCGCGCTGGAGTAGATTTGATTTATCTCTTCCCCCCTGTCTGCGCTCCACTTCCCCCTCCCCACCCGAACCCCCACCTCAAACCAAGGCATGGTCACGACAACCTTCTCGGACTATGTCGGGTACACCAGCAGCGTTGGCAACGACTGCAAGCAAGGCATGAAATTTCTCTTCTTTCCTCAACCCGAATCAATCCGTGCAAGCTGAAGAGCACGACCAGCACCAATCGGCATCATTGTCATTATAATACAATGATGCCGATTGGTGCTGGTCGTGCTCGGTAATGAGAAGACTTCTGTTGGGAGTTTTGAGACGTCTCAAAACTACGACCAGCACCAATCGGCATCATTGTCATTATAATATGGGTAATGAGAAGACTTCTGTTGGGAGTGCGAGTGGGTTTCATATATTTAGTCCCAAGAGTGTTGGGAGGGTAGGTAGGTAGCCAATTGGTGCTGAAGGTCCTGACAAGTATAGACGCTTGGAAGTATTTCTGTAAGTGACTGTGTTTGTGCGGGCCATGAAGTTGATTGTATTTACCTTGTCGTCCTGGGGTGCAGGAGCTGAAAGTAGGAATTTGACGGGCAGAAATAACTCAAACCTTGCATTGCGTGAGTACCCGATTCACGCTAAAACTGGATGTGATTTGAAATGTACCAAGATGTATTCCCCGAAGATAGATATCCTTCCATTGAAATAGACGACCTCACACATGATAGGTTTGGGTCGGGTCGGATGCGACTGGATGCTCGCTCATGCCGTCACATTCAATCCCGGCACCATGTCTCGTTCACCCACACAAGATCCATCTCCCTGCCCTCGCGGGAAAGAAGGGCATTGATGATGATCCGACACATGCCATCTGAGGAAAGAATAGGACATTGTACCACTAATGGTGATCCACTAGGACAGGTCAGCATCGTTACGCATAAACACCTCGTACTCCCCCAACCAATCCTTGTGATGGAAATTGCTGCGACTGTTGAAGCAATTCAATACAGTCACATTCAATCCCGGCACCATGTCCCCATGAAGCTCCAGTGCTGCCAGGTTCGACTCGTTCACCCACCCCAGGTCCAACTCCCTGTCCTGGCGTAAAGTGTACTAGCGAGGATGTTACTAGCATTACAAGAACATTCTATAACTAGGACAGATTAGCGTCGTTACGCATGAACACCTCGTACTCCCCCGACCAATCCTTCTTACGGTGGAAATTGCTGCGGCTGTTGAAGAAATTCAATACAGTCACATTCGATCCAGGCACCATGTCCCCATGAAGCTCCAGTGCTGCCAGCTTCGACTCGTTCACCCACCCCAGATCCGTCTCCCGGTCCTCACGGAAAATTTCGCCCTCGCTGCCCTCGATGTCGATCTTGAGGAAGTCGAATCCGGGCAGCCCGAAAACTTTGAGGAGGAATGGCACGGTCACGCCGAGAAGGGAGTCCTCCACAACCTGCCCGGGCTCGAGCTGGATGGCGGGAGAGGTATAAGACGAGAGAAGGAAAAAAACATTGTCGGTCTGACCTTTCATTGGAGATGACAGAGAGACTGCTGGAAGACTGGAGGAACAGAGATAAGGCAGTGCATGTGAAAGAGAGGTCAAAGGTCAACATATCCAGAGAGATAAGCGGAGGGTGGGAGAGGCTATGCCAGATGCAAACAGCTGTAGGTGGTGGCGCTTATTCGTGGTAGATGGCGCTTATTCGTGGTAGATGGGAAGTGGCAGCAGCACGTGGTGGTGGTGGGTCGGGTGACTCAAAACTCAAATTTGCAGGAAAGGCCAAATTCTGCACCCGACCTACCATGATCATGCTTTGCAGGAAGAGAATACCAAACGAGAGGCATGGTGGAGCACGATAAATGAAAGGGCAAAATTTCCTGCTATCATCACCCCCGGCAGGATACTTGCTACAGCCACCAAGAATGCCAGTCACATGCTATACAGCCAGAAATCCCACCACAAATGCCACTCACATCGCGCATCTCCTTGACCATGAAGGCCCATTCAGGGGCAGCTCGGGGTTGCTCTGCCCGAGAGTGAGCGTGAGGGAGGGCATTCATGCTGCAGCCATCCATGCCACCAAGACTGCCTCTCACATGCTAAAGACAGGAACCCCATGCCACTCACGTCGCTCCTTGACCATGAAGGCCCACTCGGGTGGCAGCTCTGGGTTCCTCTGCGCGAGGGTGAGTGAGAGGGAGCCGACTCACATGCTACAGCCACCAAGAGTGTCACCAAGAATGACACCAAGAGAAGAAGGAGACTCACATCGCGCGTCTCTTTGACCATGAAGGCCCACTCGGGTGGCAGCTCGGGGTTCCTCTGCCCGAGAGTGAGCGAGAGGGAGGCGACGCGCGGCCACAGGGCAGCGTTGACAGCGATGACGTTGGGGAAGGGCTGTAAGTTGAGCTTCAGCTGGTGGTGCCACCAGGACTGCCACTCACTCATATGCTACACCCACCGAGAAATCTACCAAGAGAAGCGTGCGACTCGGTCTCTTTGACCATGAAGGCCCACTCGGGTGGCAGCTCTGGGTTCCTCTGCCCGAGAGTGAGCGAGAGGGAGGCGACGCGCGACCACAGGGCAGCGTTGACAGCGATGACGTTGGGGAAGGGCTGTGTGTTGAGCTTCAGCTGGTGGTGCCACCAGGACTGCCACTCACTCATATGCTACACCCACCGAGAAATCTACCAAGAGAAGCGTGCGACTCACATCGCGGGTCTCTTTGACCATGAAGGCCCACTCGGGTGGCAGCTCTGGGTTCCTCTGCCCGAGAGTGAGCGAGAGGGAGGCGACGCGCGGCCACAGGGCAGCGTTGACAGCGATGACGTTGGGGAAGGGCTGTGTGTTGAGCTTGAGCGAGCGGAAGTTGCGAGACGACGCCTCCACACTGATGATCGTTGCCTTGGGGTACCTGATGCGAGATGGGGTAGCAGTGGTTGGGAGATGGGTTGCACGGGTTAGGGTTTAGGTTCAGGGTAAGGCGGTTGGTCCCAAGGTTCAAGGGCTGCAGAGGTGGGGGAGACATGGAGGGTTGAAGGGAAAGTGATCCCATGGAGTCAAGGAGATGATGTTGGGGAAGGGCTGTGTGTAGAGCTTCAACGAGCGGAAGATGCGAGACGACGCCTCCACACTGATGATCGTCGCCTTGGGGTACCTGATTGGGGGATAGCGGTGGTCAAAGTTTTGAGCTTTGGGTTCGGGGGTTTAGGTTCAGGGCTCGGGGTTTTGGGTTCAGCATTCCAGGGTAAACCGATGATGTCGGGGAAGGGCTGGGTGCTGAGAGCTTAGATGATTGGAAGTTGCGAGACGACGCATCCACACTGATGATCGTTGCCTTGAGGTATCTGGTGGGGGTTTCGGGTTCAGGGATTTGGATTCAGTGTTCAGAGGTGAAGGGCTGTGTGTTGAGGAAGGGCTGTGTGTTGGGGAAGGGCTGTGTGATGGTGAAGGGCTGTGTGTTGGGGAAGGGCTGTGTGTTGGGGAAGGGCTGTGTGTTGAGCTTCAACGAACGGAATTTGCGAGACGATGCCTCCACACTGATGATCGTTGCCTTGGGGTACCTGATGGGGTTCTGACAGGGTCCAGACGCAGAAGCAACAGCCACTCACATGGTGGCGAAGAGTACGGAGGCGAGTCCAATGTTGGCCATGACTGACATTGAAGAAAAGGTCAAAATCACAGAAGCTTACGTCAGTACAGAGAACACAAACACTCACATGGTGGCGAAGAGCACGGAGGTGAGGCCGATGTTGGCCCCGGCGTCAAGAATGGAGTCAAAGTGGAAATGCGGCTTGAGGAAGTTCTGCTCTCCCCACTCGTATGCCTGCCGCACCACCAGCGTGTCTGATGCAGGGAGGGTAGCACACACGGACGGACAGGGTGTGTACAACGGTGATGGGGTAGGAGACGGGAAGGATGTGAGTGATGGAAGTGAAGGATGGAGTCAAAGTGGAAGTGCGGCTTGAGGAAGTTCTGCTCGCCCCACTCGTATGCCTGCCGTACCACCAGCGTGTCTGTGAATGGCGGCAGAGGGTGAATAGCGGCAGGCAGAGGGTGGGAGGCGGCAGAGGGTCGGAAAGCAGTGTGGGGAGAGCAGTGATTTGCTTGCCATGCCATGCCATGCCATGCCATGCCGTGAATTGCCATGTCATGTCATGTCCTGTCAGGGCATGGCACGGCACGGCACGGCACGGCATAACACGTCATGTCATGTCATGTTACGTTACGAGCACAAAGAAAAACGGGGTTTCGCATGCACTTGTCGAAGCACACTGCAAGCAGGTGTCCAATAGACCCCACATGATCCATTTGCCACCCCACCAGAGTGTCGGTTTGAACATATACATATATATATTTAAACCGACTAAAAACATTACAAGCAGTCCCATAGGCTCCACATTTGTACATCTGCCAGGCTCTCATGCTGCTCACAAGTAACCCACAAGCTGACATAAACAGGAACGAGACGCCCTCCATCAGTACACCTCCCCTTCCGAAACCAGAAAAGAGTAACCTACCAGTGGAGTTTCGCTTCAGGCAATACCAGTTCACGCATGGCTGCTCCTTCCTGCACCAAAGCTTCTCATGCTGCTCTCGAGTAACCCACAAGCTGACAAAAACAGGAAATAGGAGCCCTCAACCAGGAGCTTCCCCTTTCTCGAACCAGAAAAAGTCAACCTACCAGTGGTGTTGCGGCGCAGGTAGTACCCATTAACGCATGGCTGCTCCTTGCTGCACCCCAGGTTCTCATGCTGCTTGCACGCCAGCACGCACTCCGCCTCCTCCTCCTCCCGCACCCGCGCGTGCCCCTTCTGAAACTCCTCATCCAGCGTCTTCCAGTCGATCCATGCACCGCCATAGAAGTACCGGTTGCACTTCCACCCACAGCAGTGGCGCAGCGCGAGGATGGCGCGCAGCTCGCTTTCCGTGTACGTGCACAGGCGGCGAGGGCCCCTGTGGGACAGGCGCAGGACGCTGTTGGGGTTGGCGGAGGCCCCTGTGAGCGCGGAGGGGTCGGAGTCCGCGTGCGCTGTGCCGGATTTGGCTATGCTCTCCTGGAACTGGCAAGGGGGAAGAAGGGGAGTGGAACCGGTAAACGAGGACGCCTTGAAGCCTTTATGTAAGGGAAGGGGATACATGCATCTTCCACCCGCAGCAGTGGCGCAGGGCGAGGATGGCGCGCAGCTCGCTTTCCGTGTACGTGCACAGGCGGCGGGGGCCCCTGTGGGAGAGGCGGAGGATGCTGTTGGGGTTGCCGGAGGAGAGAGAGGAGGGTTCGAAATCCGCGTGTGCTGTGCTGGATTTGGCAATGCTCTCCTGGAACTGGCGTGGGGGAGGAAGGGGGGAGGCGGGGAGGAGAGGGAAGGGGAATGAAGAATGAGCATGTTTGGGTTCGTAATCCACGTATGCTGTGTTGGGCTTGGCGATGCGCTCCTGAAATCGACGTGGGGGAGGATGGGGATGCGGGGGAAACGGGGGAAGAGGAGAGGGGGGATATGATGAAGAGCTTAAAACGGAAGAGGGGAGAGAAGAAAGATGGGATGAGCGCCTAAGGAGGTTGGGAGAGGGTGAGAGGTGACGCCTTGAAGACTGGTTCACTTCAGACAACAATGCAGGTCAACTAAAGCCAATCCAGACGGGTGCATTACCAGAACGGAAATCTCCTGGAAGCGTCGGTCGAGCAGCTGCTCGAACGCGGTGGTGCGATTCAAGTCCTCTTGTATCGCGTACGAGCGCGCGGTCATGTTGGCGTTGTGCATGGTGAGCACGGCGAGCATCACCACCACCGACACCACCAGCGCCGCCTGCAGCTGACGTGGCACGTGGCTTGCCGGGTACTTGGAGTCGAACACCGGCCGAGCCATAGTGACACTCTGCGATAACTACAGTAACTACAGATTGTACAGTAAATACGGTAATTTGAGAAACAACGATACTACACTAACTACGGTACCTGAGGATCTGAAGAACGGGCAATGTAAGAGCACACTACCAAGACGCACGGAGTTTTCTGGTTGCTGGACACTGGTTCCTACGAAAAAGGTTCTGTGATGCCTTTCACATGAAGCTCGGAGCTGTTGGCCACACAACACCCGCTTTCGTCGTGGATGCTAGTGAGTAAATGAGAGAGATCGATGAATATATTTGGAAATGCTATCTTATGAAGGTGCAACTGCTAAGCATGGCATTGTGCACTAGGCACGAGCCAGATTCAGACCAGCCTGCGCGAAACTAGCAAAACGGAATGGCAGACAGAGTTTATCGCATGAAAAGCACGTCGGACTAATCCATGCGAGCATTTGGTGGCTGCGCTTGTAACGAGTTTGTAGATGCGAAACTCGCCTGCTAAGGCCCAACTGAGCCGTGACCAGCGCTTCCAGTAGTGAAAAGAGAGAATGCTGATGATACAGTACACTGAGGCCAGACGAGAAACGCTACAAGTAATCTAGTGGATCCGCAACGGCGACAATGGGATCGCTAGACGAAATTCGACTGAAGGCCGAACGAAGGGGAGGCGAGGAAAGAATGGAGGGAAGGAAACAGTTGGGCAGAAATCGATACTGAACTTGAACTTGAAGCGGGGGGAGCAGATCCAGATTCCCCCAGAAACATTGTCCAGCTTTCACTGACGACTTGCGGCAATCCTCGCTACGAGCTTACGTAATACAGAAATCGGACGTGTATATGCTAATCAAATTATTCGTATTCGACTGCAGTGGGTTCGTCAAAACACATGTTTGTACCAATTAAGTCAGTTAATTAGAATTTAAAGAATATTATGTGAAAAAATATATATTTATGTGTGCATTTGTTCCAACGCTAATAATGTATACTCTAATGTCTTACAGAAGATATTTAGGTAATTCTGCTGAAAATATATACCGTTATACTCGTTATGAACACATGTGCGTCACCAGAAAGTAGTCGTTGTGGGTGACGTCGCGCGAGGGCAAGGCTTCGCCGTGCAGAAGCAAGCAGCTCTCATTGGCAGGCTGTAGGTGTGATTGACGGGGATTCCGTTCCCCCTGACACACAACGGCCCTCGGATTAGCCACTGAACGGTCAGATACATTTTATTCTCTCCGCGGACACGTTTCATTCGGGGAGGGAGTCGCCTGGCGACAAGCTGCAACAGTAGGCATTCGGGCAGCAATTCCCTGCTGGGCAAAGTTTTCAGGCTGCTCTGGGCAGCCTAGGCTGGACGTTTTCTGGTAATTTGTCGATGGGGTGCACCACGCCTTGCGCGAACTCATCAGTGAAGTCACCAGCCAATTTGGCTGGAGAGAGCATTCATTGGATGCTGAAAGCATTGTTATTATTTCATTGGTTGAGAAGAGAAACAAGGAATCGGCGCATTTCACGGCAGCTTTTGAGCGGGATGTCTCCATGAGCATTGCGTCTCGCAGTAGAATTTGCACTAGTGTTCCCAATTCGCCTGAGAAGATTCACGGGCAAATATTGCCTGGCAATTCTCGCAGCGAGATTCGTGCCTCTCCGCCTGGGCGAGCAAGTGAGCGGAGCCTCGAGCAACTGACTGATTTGCCAAGCGGAAACCAGCCTCAAGTAGTCAGCAGGCCACCCTAGGTTCTCTCATTGGGGTTTCAGAGCTTCAGTTCTCAGCTTTCTTTGCTTTCTCTCTTTGTTGCTGCGCGGTTTTGTTAGGAAGAAGTTTATAATTTAGTGTTCGGTTGGTATTTGAAGGCCCTTCCACCAGAGGTTCGCCTGTCATGCCGAAAGCAGCGAAGGGCAAGGAGAAGGGAGGGAAGAAGAAGAAGGACCCGAATGCTCCGAAGCGGCCGTTAGCTCCGTACATGTTCTACTGCAAAGAGCAAAGAGAAGTTGTGAAGTCCAACAATCCAGACGTTTCCTTCGGAGAGCTTGGGAAGATTTTGGGAGCTCAGTGGAAGGAGTTGGACGACAAAGAGAAGAGGGTGGGTAATTCTGCCTTCGAATACCCTCTCGTGTCCTGGAGACTGACTGTCCATCTAACTCCAGTTCGTGTAATGGCAATTTCCCATAATAGCGTCAGACTGACGTTACTCTTTTGTCTGTCATGAATTCGCAGCCATACATGAAGATGGCGGAAGACGATAAAAAGAGATATCAAGACGAGATTGAGAGCCTTGAACCCGCAGACGACGAGTGAAGGTACGTTTATACCTTTTTTAACTTATTTCCCACCTGTGTAAAGATGTGCAGCTAGCAACAATTTCATTTTGCACTACGCCCGGTGAGGCGGTTATCTTACGAAACACAACGAATTGTTTCTTGTTGTCCACCCACAGGCTTCGACGGACGCGGCGCGTTCTATGAAGTTTTTTTGTTCATAAGAGCCAGGTTTCTTCAATTAAACGTGGAGTTGTACCAACGTTTTCTGAAGAGAGCTGGAACTTTCTTGAAGGCCTTCAAATTAGCCCCCTTGACCTGGCTATATGTTTTGTCATCCGTAGGCTAGTAATCTCATGTGTCTAACACCCCTGTCCCTGATTTACTAGAAGCATCCGTTCATTCCGTCTTTCAGACGTGCCTGACCGATTCACTAGTAACAGTCTAGAATTTATATTAATACAAAATATGAGATGCTTACAATCAGTAACATGCTCGGCCGCTGATCAATAGCTAATGGTAAGTTATTATGGTGCCTCACGATCTGAGGCGCCACCTGTACTATTGTCTAAGCTATTCTTTACGGAACTGCGATTATGTTCCTTGATCTCAGCATTCATTAGCTTACTGGTTGAAGTGTTCACCTGAGCAGAGGCATTGAGGGGGAGCCACTTAGCTAATGCAGGGGCCGATGAGTTTGGAAGCAGGGGCTGATAGAAGGGGCAGGAATAACAGCATGAACACAGGCAGACAGCATGAGTAAAAAAGAAGAGGAAAACAAGGTTGAACAACTTTGTTGCTCTCCAGATAATAAACTAAGCACAACTTTGTTGCTCTCCAGAGCAACGCACTGATGAGTCTATTGTCATGTGAATGAAACTAACAAGAGCAGCAAGCTCACACTCACATAGTGCGTTATGAGCATCTGTGACCCAGTGGGTTGCTCCGAAGCTTCCTCCACGAGGATTACGACGAGCAACACGGAGGCGATAACCAGCAGCAGCACCGCCAGGCACCATTGCACCTGCCCTTCCCGGACCTCCCGCCTGTACGGGTCGAGCGACTCCTTGGAATCGCGACCGCCAAAGACGAAGTCCTTAATCTCCCGCGGACTCGGAGGAGGTGGCACGGCCGTGAGGTATGAGAGCCAGGAAGAGGAAGGGAAGCTAGGGTTTGGACTCGAGACGGACATGAGCGGAGAAGATAGACGGCTGATGCCAGAGGCTCTAGGTGCGACGTGTGATGAACTAGGAACTGGGTTTGTCGACTGAAGTGTACCGACAGCTCCGAAAATAAGGAGGAGCAATCTTAGCGAGGCATGCAGCGGTTGTCTGTCTCGTTCTACTAACGATTCGAGTGAATCTAAGCTTAACCTCTCCTCTCTTTCACCTGGATACTTCACTCCGCGTCATGAAACCAAATCAAACGCGCTGCGAATCTAAAGCTAAATATAAATACCAAGACCCTAGCTCCTATTTACTTATAAACGAACTTGCTGACGAGTTTCACTTGCGTAGCACAAACTCGCGCAGTGCATACGCTGACAGCCTGGGAACGTCGTCACGTCACCCATCAAGATAACAAAATATAGCTCCACTAGGTGCTTTGCGCTCGCCCGAAACATTGTTTTGCAACAAGAATCACAGCTGGGCCAGCATGGGAGTAACAGCGAGAATTAGGGAAAATATCTGTCACATTGACAGAGACTCGGAAATATCCATACGCGTTTGACATTCCTGTTGGGTTCTCCGTTCCTACTTACTCCCGTTAAGATGTCTAAAATGTTGCTCGTGGATCCTGTGTAAAACCACATACACAAGCAGCTACTAACGAGAACAACGGTGTTCTGCATTCGTTACTGGCAATCCTCCTCACCACCTTTCACCCCTCAGCAATTGCCGACAGAGCTCACGAATTATGCTTATTTGCTTCGCAACCTATCCTTCCTGCTGTCAGTGTGCTGGCAACTTCTCTATTCTTCTCTCGTGCCTGCCTGCCTTTCTTCGACTCGCCTGTTTCTCGCCTCGCCATTCTCGCATATCCTTGGTTCGTGAGTAGTATGGTTGCTATTAGCTATTCGACGACCAGGAAGTAAGGATTCTCTTCCGGCATTTTTCGACGAGAGGAAGATTCGCAACGAATTCTCTTTCTGCTGCCGCGTCAATTCCGCCGCGGATGCAAATCGATTCGACTTTGAAGGTCGTTTTATGGTTCAAACCAAAGACGATTGGAGTAGTACTATTCACGGAAAGAGACGATACCACCATGACTTTTACATTCTTACCCATTCCACCAGGCGACTCGAGTTAACTTAGCGGTTCACGGCACGGTGATCACGCATCTGGCATATAATTTTAAAAAGTTTGACCGCACCCGTGTTGGCCTGTGACCATTCTCTTCTTTTAACCTGCCTCAGGCCAAAGCAGGCTTATCGATAAGCCTGCTTATAACCTGCCTCAGAGACGGCAATTTTAAGAAGCGGATTTAATCCCGGTTGCAGTATCCTAGTCTGGTAAAGCACGACCAGCTGACGTGGCAGCAGCACCGAACGGAAGAGCTTTCACTCATGGAAGGATCACCAGGAGACCATAGTAGTGCACAGATGCAGTATCCCCAAGGTTATCAAGAGCAGCCACACTCGCAAGGGTCGTACCAGCAACGGTACAGCCAGGAATACTCACAGCATTTGCAACCTCTGCAGGAGCAGCAGCAGCAGCAACAGCAGGATCCATGGCAATACCCGCATCAGGGTCAGGAGCAGCAGCAGGCACAGCCACAGCAACCACAGTATGAGCAGCAGCAGAATCAGGATCAGAATCCATGGCAAAACCCGCATGAGGCTCAGGAACAGCAGCTACCACAGCAACCACAGTATGAGCAGCAGGCGCAATACTCTTACGCACTGCCACAACAGGCACACGACTCAGCGTACCAGCAGCAGCAGCATCAGCAGCAGCAGCCACAGTACTACCAACATCCGAGCAGTCACTCTCAGTACCAGAGCCAGTATCAGTATCAGCAGCAACATCCTCATTCAAACCAACACAAGCCTTGGAATTCGAATAAGCCTTGGGATTCGAACCAGCCGTGGAATCCGAACCAGCCTTGGAATCCGAACCAGCCTTGGAATCCGAACCAGCCTTGGAATTCGAACCAGCACTGGAATTTGAACCAGCCTTGGAATCCGAACCAGCAGTGGAATCCAAACCAGCAGTGGAATCCGAATCAGGGTTACCACCAGCAGCTAAACCCCCCTTCCACCCATCCTCCACCTCCTTGGATTTCAACTGCTGCCACTTCAGCAGAGGCAGCCTCCTTTGATCCCTCTGCTACAAACTCCACTCGCCCTCCACCTCCTTGGGCTTCATCTCCTCCCTATCACCTCCTTGCACCTGCCTCTGCCGCAGTGGCACTGCCCCACCCACCACTCCCGCCAACACCACCACCTGAACCCGCAGCAGCAGCAGCAGCACCCGCGCCACCACCAGTGGATCACAGCCAACGTGTTTCCGTTGTGAGTTCAGCTCTCTCTCTTTCCGTCTTTTCTGAAAGAGGTCCTTAAAACGGATGGTGGCCGACCAGAGAGAGAGAGGCCTTCTATTGAGAACTCTTAATGTGCCACGTACGCACCATTGTTTCTCTTCTCCACCTCCCAAACCTGTCAACCTCCCTCATCGCCTCTCTCCCTCTCTCTCTTCCGCCTCTCCCTCTCACTTCCACCTATAAGCCTACATCTCAGCTTTTCTCAAAGCACCACTACTTCACTGCGTCTACCCCCTCCTCCCCTCCCCCTTCCCATCTCACCACACATTCTCCTCTCTCTGCTCTGTTCTCCCCCCTTTTTCTGTGACGCTCCCCCACTTCTGTTCCCCTCCCTTTTGTGCGCACCCCCCTTTTGCTCCCCTCCCCCTTGTGCGTCCGCCCCTCTCCTGTCCGTATCCGCCCCCCTTTTGTCCGTATGCGCCCCTCTCCTGTCCGTATCCGCCCCCCTTTTGTCCGTATGCGCCCCTCTCCTGTCCGTATCCGCCCCCCTTTTGTCCGTATGCGCCCCTCTCCCCGCCCGGTGCACAGGCAGCCTTCTAAACAGCCTGCCACGTACAGTTATGTTGCTCCTCCACGTGGCGAGCAGCGCACTCATGCTGGTGACGTGGAATATGACCCGTTCCGGCCTGCTGACGTGGCGCATGATGCGTCCCTGCCACGTGTGTTGCAGGAGGGCAGCGAAGGGAGGGGAAGGGAGTTAAAAGTGGGAGTGAGGGAGATGGGAGGAGGAGGCATAGGGGATGCAGGCAGGGAGGGTGATAGTGGTAGTGAGGGAAGGGAAAGGAGAGAGAGTAAGAAAAGGAAGTTCAGATCAGGAGGGGAAGAGGAGAGGTTGGAGAAGGAGAGGAGGGTTGACTGGGAAAAGAGGGTTGATGGGGCCACACCACTTCCTCCCCCTTCTCCTCTTCCTCCTGCTCCTCCACTTTCTCCTCCTGCTGCTGCCTCCCACCCACCTCTCCGCCCTCGCCCTGTGATTGTATGGGACCTGGACGAAACCCTAATCATCTTCCAATCGCTGCTCTCGGAGAAATTCGCCAAGAGTCTTCTGGCTGACAGGGAAGCAGCAGGAGCCAGTGGGACAGCGGGGGACAGTGGCGGGAGAGGGGTGGAGGAGCGGGCAAGGGAGTTGGGCGAGGCGTGGGAGAGGCTCATTCTTGACGTCTGTGACGCCCACTTCTTCTTTAAAGAGGTGAGCGCGTGTGTGCGTCGAGTGTATCGTAAGTGTGTCTCTGCGTGCGTTGCGTGGCGTGGGAGAGGCTCATTCTTGACGTCTGTGACGCCCACCTTTTTTTTCAAAGAGGTGAGCTGGTGCGTGCGTGCGTGTGTGAGTGTGTGAGTGTGTGCATGCGCGTGTGTGTGTGTGTGTGTGTGTGTGCGTGCGTGTGTGCGTGCGTGTGGGCGTGTGTGTGTGTGTGTGCGTGTGTGTGTGTGTGTGTGTGCGTGCGTGTGTGCGTGTGTGTGTATGTGTGCGTGCGTGTGTGTGTGTGTGTGTGTGTGCGTGCGTGTGGGCGTGTGGGCGTGTGTGTGTGTGTGCGTGTGTGTGTGTGTGTGTGTGTGTGTGTGCGTGTGTGTGTGTGTGTGCGTGTGTGTGTGTGTGTGTGTGTGCGCGTTTGTGTGTGTGTGTGTGTGTGCTTGCGTGTGTTCGTGCGTGCAGGCGTGCGCGCGCGCGCGTGTGTGTGTGTGTGCGTGTGTGTGTCTGTTCGTACATTATGAGGCGTGGGAGAGGCTGATCCTTGGTGTGTGTGACGACCACTTCTCCTTCCGAGAGGTGTGTGCGTGCGCATGTGTGTGTGAAAGTGTGCACACTGCATCTGTGCCTTGCCTTCCCTTTCCTGAGTGATTTTTAACTGTCACCTCTTTTCATGCCTATCAGCACACACCCCTTCTCAACCACCATATTCTGTCGACCCCCGCGCATCCCATATCTTTCTCACCTTATACCATAACCCATTCCTTGTCACCGCTTGTCACACCTTGTCACCTCTTAGAACCATGAGCCTTGTCCTCAAGTTTTACATCAGCCTTTCCCTGTTCCGCCCATATCTCCCCTGTTCTCTGCTCTGTCTTGCCTTGTCAGCTTGAGGACGTGGACCTCCCAAACCTGTGCCACATGGAAGCTGATAGCAAGCCTGTTGACATGGCAGCACCGGGCTGTGGCGATGGATCCATGCCAGGCCCCAAACAACCACCAGTTTTTGCTAGTTCTGACGTGGCGGCTGACATGACTGCTGACGTGGCGGGTCCTCATGAACGCCAGGCAATTGCAGAGCGGTTTCAACAGATAGAATCGGCGTACAGGAAGGTACATCCGGTCTCTTGAGAGCCGTTTCTTGATTTCCCTCCATTCCACTCCTGAAGGTACATCCCCGACCTGCTGACTCTTTTCCTTTCAGGCGTCTCATGGCTGGCCATCGTTTTGAGGTCATGGGATGGAATAGCCAGCCTTGAGGCGTCTGAAAGGGGACAAGTTTGCCGATTGGGAATTCTGATTTCGTGGATTTTCTCCTTTGATCACATTCCTTACTCTCTGCGAATCTCGTTATTCAAGCCGTCCCGCTTCTTGACCTATGCAGGGCATTTCGTCTCTCCTCACACCTGCCCAAGAAGCACACAGGCAGCAGCTGTACGCACAAACAGACAGATTCACCCACGGGTGGTTGGCAGCAGGTGGGTGGTTGCAGGGTGGAGGGAGGGAGGGAGGGCAGGTGCGTTTTGGGTTGACTTTTGAGTCGACTCAAAAGTCAACAGGGTGGAGGGAGGGAGGGCAGGTGCGTTTTGGGTTGACTTTTGAGTCGACTCAGAAGTCAACAGGGTGGAGGGAGGGAGGGCAGGTGCGTTTTGGGTTGACTTTTGAGTCGACTCAAAAGTCAACAGGGTGGAGGGAGGGAGGGCAGGTGCGTTTTGGGTCGAATCAAAACACAAGAGGCACACAGCAGCAGCGGCTGTAGGGATCGGTCTTCTGACATAATTCTCAGCGAGCGGCTGTACGAATCAGTCTTCTGACATGACATAATTGTCAGCGAACAGCAGACGAATCTGGGCTTAGAGCGTGGCACCATTTTGCCACCCCATGGTTCGAGCCGTCGACCGTTCGAACCGTGGGGTGGTAATTGCTATCGCCAGGCTTCGCATGGGAATTCGTTAGCATGCATGCGACGTCGCATTGCATGCATACCGCATCGGTGTCACCACGTCGTCCGTTCGTGCTTCCGTCCGTCCGATTATCTTCCGTTCGTGCTTCCGTCCGTCCAATTATCGTCCGCTTATGGTTCGCTACGCGTTAAAAGGACGGTCCGCAATTGTACGACCAAACTTTGGGTAAAAGTAAAATGGTGCCACGCTCTTAAAGCAGAAGATATGTTTATGTCAGAAGACCAAGAGGCACACAGCAGCAGCAGCAGCAGCTGTACGCGCTAACGGGAGGATTCACTCAGACGGTGGTTGACAGCAGGTAGGGAGCAGGTAGGCGGGTGGGTGCAGGGGGAGGGGGGGTGAGAAGCCACTTGTTGGATGAAGTCAGCCGCTTTGTTTCTAATCACTATGTCACACCCCAATCTCGTCTCATCTCATCCCAACCCAACCCATCCCATCCCATCCCATCCCATCCCATCCCATCCCATCCCATCCCATCCCATCCCATCCCATCCCATCCCATCCCATCCCATCCCATCCCATCCCATCCCATCCCATCCCATCCCATCCCGTCCCATCCCATCCCATCGCACCATGCTACACCACTCTAGGTCGGGCCATGCTGGCTGCAGCAGAAATGGCTACATCAGCAGCAACAACAGAAGCCGAAGAAAAGAGAGCAGCCGAAACTGGATTAGCAGAGGGTGCAGTTGCAGAGGGTACTACAGGGGCGGCTGCAGCAGCAGCAGTGGCGAGTGCAGCAAGGTTTGCAGCAGCAGAGGGTGGTGCAGGGGCAGTCAATGTGGTTGTTTCTTCTGGGCAGCTCATTCCAACCCTTGCCAAATGCCTGCTGTTCGGCCTCGATCCCTTCATCTGCCCGACCAACAGTAAGTCGATCCTTTCATCTGCCCGTCCAACAATAAATCAATCCCTTTATCTGCCCGACTAACAGTAAGTCGATCATCTTCCCGTCCCACAGTAAATCAATCCATTCCTTCCCCTGACCAAGCAGTGTTTACTGTAGAAACATTTACGTTTGTTTTCCAGCGTTCCTTATGTATTTACATTATAAGTTTGGTACCCACCATGACTAGTGCAATCGTGTTGAGGGCACTCACTCATGTGCTCTTGTGTTGCTTAATGCCTTGGAATTTCATAATCCTAAGTGCTTCATGTGCAACGTGCCAAGCCTTTTGTGAGTGATACAAATGTGCTCATGCCACAACTGTGAGCTGCAACGTTTCCTGCTTCGCCATTATCCGAAGTGCTTCGTGTGCAATGTGCCAAGCCTTTTGTGAGTGCTCACGCTAAAAGCATAGGGGGGTTCGCAGACGGCTTTTATGATTCTAAGAAGGTGCCGCTGTGAACTCTCCAGAACAGCCTTTCAGAACTACAAACTCCTGTGAATCATAGAAAAAACGCCTTTCCGATTGTGCCAAGCCTTTGCGAGTGCTCTGCTCACACTACAAATGCGGGGTTCGCTGTGGTCAGTACCGACTCCCTTTTGACACATTTCCTCCCCTCGATTTTCCCATTCATTCTCGCCCTGCCTTGTCCCTTGCAGTCTACAGCTCGCGCAAAGAAGGCAAGCTCGTGTGCTTCAAGCACATTAGAGACCGCTTCAGCGACCGTCTCAGCAACAGGCACTCCGGCGCGGTTACCAGCACCGTCAGCAGCACCCGGGAAGGGGTTGCTGCAGATGCTGTGTGCTGTAAAACATCCAGAACGGTGCGAATCGGTGAGCATCGGTTTGTGGCGGTGGGGGACGGATGTGAGGAGGCAGCAGCGGCAAGGATCATGGGCTGGCCGTATGTGAGAGTGGATGCGGCATGGGAGGACATGCGCCTGACAAGCATGTCCTTAGCACAGATACTGCAGGCACGTGTGGAATGACTGTGACATGACGCCATGCAGGCACGCGTGGAATGACTGTGACATGACGCCATGCAGGCACGCACGCAGTAGGTGTAGTGATTTCAGCAGCAGCAGCAGCAGCAGCAGCAGCTAGCATTATGGGGTGGCCGTATGTGAGAGTGGATGAGGCATGGGATGACATGCGCCTGCCAAGCATGTCCTTGGTGCAGATACTGCAGACTCACGTGGGATGACACAGCACCATAGCAGGCACGGAGGCACAGGTGTAGTGATAGAAGCAGCAGCAGCAGCAGCAGCAGCAGCGGCGGCGGCGGCGGCGGTGGCGGAGGCGGCGGAGGTGGCGGCGGCAGCAGGCATTATGGGCTGGCCGTATGTGAGAGTGGATGCAGCATGGGAGACATGCGCCTGACAAGCATGTTTCTAGCACAGATACTGCAGGCATGCATGGGGTGACACGGCACGTTAGTAGGCAGGCAGACACCAGGTGTAGAACTCTCAGCAGCAGCAGCAGCAGTGGCAGGGGCAGCAGGCTGTAGGAGCAGCTGTAGCAGCAGGCTTCAGCAGCACCTGAGGCACCCAGTGGCATCATCGGATGTAGTCAGAGGAAAAAGGGGATTCTAAAGGAGATAGAAAAGAGTGTCACTAGCTCGCTACTAGAGTCACTAGCTTGCTGCTACAGTCACTAGCTCGCTGATACAGTCACTGAGATACCGTATATGCATCCCCAGTTATTTTACACCTTTATAAGTTCTTCTGGGTAGGCTGTTTCTTCGATATATTTCGGATCTCTTTTGCTCCCGCTGATGAGTTTTGTACTGGCAAATATGGTAACATTTTCTGTCGTAAAATTATAACCTCCACCCTGAACCCTGGACTTGCGAAACATTTGATAATGTCAGGAACTAACCACTGCCATCCCAACATTGAGGCGCTTCAAAAGCCTGTTGTGCAATCATCATCACCTTGACCCTTTTAACGTAAAAAAAACACGGGCACTCCCAACAAGTCTGTCTATTCATTCCAAGAAACAGTCCCAACTCCGGCAACTCGACCTACAAAACAAAAGGGCACTCCCAACGGTTGTCTCTCGTCATAGCAGTACCAATACACTCAAAACGAAACGCCATCTAATCTAGGAATAAGGGTCACCTTCATGCCTAGGAGGCAGTCGTTGCGAACGCTGCTGGTGAAATAACCATTATACCACGTCTGGGTAACCACGGTCACTTCAACAGTGTTGTGGTGTGATGCTGCAGCAAGAACCTTGATGGCCTGACCATTAGCTCCAAAGTAGCAGCCCATGAAGCGTGAACTATCCACGGCCACCAGATTGTGCCTTTGCTTCCAGTGGTTCCACTCGAACACTGGATTCGGAGAGAGCAAGGGCAAAAGCCAAAGAGGGAGAGGAGATAGGAATCGACACCCACCTTACTGTGTTTATGCATCCAGTTATTTCACAAAAAAAAAAAAAAAAAAAAAAAAAAACGTAAAAAGGAGGAAAGCGAGCGCAAATGCGAGAAATGGTTTTTAAGTGGGCATAATATTCATCTTCAATTGATCCACTTGAAAAATGGGTTGGGGAAAGCAAGTGCGAGAGAGGGGGAGCGAGAGAAGGGAGTGAGTGTGGAGACCAATAGAGGTGTGTGTTTTGACGGGCTTCTCAAGTCGTCTCACGTCTCGCGGTTCAATTACGAACAGCATGTGTGGGTAGAGCGAGAAAGTTTGTGTGTGTGGGGATTGAGAGAGGTGAGCGTGAGAAGTGTGATTTGAGAGAGAGAGAAGAGCGAGACGAGAGCGAGAGAAGAGTGAGATAAGAGCGAGAGAAGAGTGAGTTGAGAGCGAGAGAAGAGTGAGATGCGAGCGGGAGAAGAGTGAGATGAGAGCGAGAGAAGAGTGAGTTGAGAGCGAGAGAAGAGTGACATGAGAGCGAGAGAAGAGTGAGTTGAGAGCGAGAGAAGAGTGAGTTGAGAGCGAGAGAATAGTGAGATGAGAGTGTTAGAATTGCCATATTCTAGCATGCTAACACTTGTGACTGTACACCAATTGTGGTGTACAGTTGGGATGGGACTACACCCAACTTTGGGTGTAGTCTTGCACTTTGGGGTGCCAATCCAACCCAATTGTGGTGGAGCCCCCAAATGCAACCCATTGGGCCATAGGTTGGCCCACTCTCACAAAGTAAGGGCCAACCCAACCCAATGGGCCATAGGTTGGCCCACTCTCACAAAGTGAGGCCAACCCAACCCAATGGGCCATAGGTTGGCCCACTCCCCCAAGTATGGCCAACCCAACCCAATGGGCCATAGGTTGGCCCACTCCCCCATTCCCACCTCCCTCCTTTCCCTTCCAACCTTCTCTTCCCAAAGCTATGTATGCTTGCAAACTCTCTAATGAAGTTAATGCTTGAGTTTCCTTTCTTCACATGGTATAGAGCTAGATTCTCCTAACCTTCCCTTCCCCATCCCATTTTTTCTTTCCCAAGGGCCCACCACACACACACACACTTCCCTCGCGCCGCGACCGTTCCGTCGCCGTCGTCTTCTCCCCCTCTCCCCCTCCTCATCTCGGCTCCTTCTCGCCGCGACCTCCCCGTCGCCGCGTCGCGCGGATTTCGCCGCCAAGTCCCGCCGATTTCGCCGCCGCGTTCTCTCCGCCCGCGGATTTCCCGCGAATTTCCCCGCCGCCGCGGATTTCCCGCGCATTCCTCGCGGATTCCCTCGCCACCGCGGATTTCCCGCGGATTCCTCTCGCATTCCCGTCGCCGCCTGCCCTCCCCGCCGTCGCGACCTTTTTCGTCGCGGATTCCCCGCGGACCCCTCCGCCGCCACGAAATTCCCGCGGAATCCCCGCGGATTTCTGTCGCTGCCTGCCCTCCCCGCCCCCGCGACCTTTTCGTCGCGGATTACCCGCGGATTCCCACGCCGCCGCGACCTTCCCGCGG